TGAAGAGGCTTGTGCAGTGAACAATAGGAGATTTTTATAGATTAGAATTTAGATGATGAAAAGATAAAAATGATCACACAGAAAGTTACTGTGATAATGATCCAGGTAACATTATTCTTATGTATGAGGAAGCAAATTAGGAAACATTCTAAAATTGGCTCTAAAACCATTTCTAGCCTGTTGGTTAATGTGGTTCCAAAAACAATTTGCTAGGAGGTAGTGTCAGGCTAGTACAAGGAGCACTGGACTAGGAGTGGGAAGACCTGACTTGTACCGTGAAATCTCCCTTCTGAATTGACTGGGAGACCTTCTACGAATCACTTAGATTCATTCAGCCTTGACATATCATTCGTGACACTCAAAACACATTAGGCATTACTCTAGGATACTTTTTTATTTTCTCTGAGGTCCCTTCTAATTAAAAAAAAAAAAGTTTTAATTAAGTCTGTGTGTCAAGTACACCTTTTAAAGTAAAAATGACCTTTGTTTTTTGTATATATTTAGAAATATACAACCTGATGTTTTCATAAACTTTGTTTTTTCAGAGGCCTTGCTTGTTGCCCAGGCGGGAAGGCAGGGTAATGTACATCCTAGCTCACTGCAGCCCCAAACTCCTGCACTCAAGTGATCCTCCTACCTCAGCCTTGTTGGCAAACCTCTTTCTTAATTCCTTTGCCTAAGTCTATCTACACTCCCATACTCAGCCCTCTGAAAATTAAATTCATTTATTTCCCCAATATTTGCCTCAACGCCTCTCTTCTGTGCAGGAGTACCACCCTCTTTCTTGAGATGGAGTCTGCCAACACTTGGACCCCAGACACTTGGCACCACCTTCTAGGAGCAAAGCTTTCCCTGCCTTTAAGACAATTGGGAAAGGTAAATCTTGTTCTACAAAATTGGAAGCATGCAAAAAAATAAAAAAAGCAACTTGGAGCAGGATTTTTTTTCTTTTTCATGTAGCTAACCCCTCTCAACCAATGGAACAAAAGAATTTGTCAGATCGTATTCTTGCCACTAGAAGAATGTTTTTAAGAAAGTCTCTTTGTGCTGTCTGCTACATCACACTCTCTCCTATTCAGCTCACCTTTGTTATTGGTCTTAGGACATCCAAAGGGCATGTTTTGTGTTTTAGATCATAGAAGCTTCCCTTTCTGCAGCAGCTGCTGTGACATGGGTGTCCGGAGGATGAGCTGGAGGCTTTTTTTTGTGGTGTTGTCTCACTCTTGGTCCAGTTAGTCAGCCAGCCCTCTTGGGAGGAAGTAGAGCTGGCCTCCTCCTGATGATCGACTCTCAGTTGTTTGTAATTTTCTCAAAAAACAAATACTCTAAGGCTACAGTTTCTCAGCATTCGTCTTAACCCCAGAGTGTGTTTTGTTGTTGTTTTTAGAAAGTTTCAAGAACATCTGTTTGGAGGAGATTATTTTGGTGGGAATATGTATGTCAGCAGTTAAATGTCTCAGACCCATTTTTTTTCTTTTTTTGTGTCCAAATAACCCTTTAAAATGTCAAGTACCTAGGCTTCAATAATAAATCAAATGATTTTGATATGTATATGTTTTTTATTTATCCCCTTTTCCTCAGAAAATGCCAAAGGAAAATAAGAAGGATCTGGATATGTTTTTCATTGGCAAGAAAAATACTAGGCCTTACTGTTGCCTTCGCCCAATTTTTAAATTGTACCTTGTTCATTTCACAACGGGTCAATGTTATGCTGCAGTTAGGTTCTCCAACTTAAGCCTCACTTGCCTTTTTCCCCTGAACATTGAAATGAAGTTCACAGATAACTGAATCTCTAGTATTATGTTTCTAGACCAAACTCACTAGCTAACTTGGTTCAAAAAGTAGCTCAGTTTCCCCAGATACTAAATAAAATGCATCATACCTCCAGTGACCAATCCCCAATCTCCCCCTCAACATAGCCATATTTTTTGGTCACAGTTCTGCTTGTACATCAGTAAGACCCCACAGATCCTGTTTTGGGGTCCTTAAAATGGTACTTCTTACAACTCTGTTGTGGGGATTAATGGGTTAACTCCTTACTCCCTCTCTGGATACCTGCCTCTTCTGACTCCCTCTCACTCCCGAATACATTCTCTTCTCCTTGCTGTTTCTGAAGCAGGATGGCGGCTGGTGCAGTGACAGTGTCTGTTTCCATTTTGAACCTTATAAATTACAGAGTGTGCAGAAGTAACAGGAGTTGCTTGGCTGATCCTCGTTAAGCAGGAGGGGGTCTGGGCTGAATTTCCTCAGTAAAATCTTTGTTGCTTTTACAACCCAAACACCACTGTAGCCACACTGTACTCACATAAGAAACAACCCTCCCGTTCCTCTTCTGCTTGTCCTCTTTTGCCCTTCATTGATTTATGTTCATTTTCTGTCTCTCTACCTCCCTTCTTCCCTTCCATCCTCCCTCCTTCCCTTCTTCCCTTCCCTCCTTGGGGCATGGAAGGAACACTTGCTCTCAATTTCCTTAAGGGGCTGGGGAAATTAGGGCATGTCTTGAACAAGTGAGTTCCCTAAAACCAAGAATGGGAACTCATGCAATGTTCTATATACCTTATCTCATTGGGGAAAAGCAAATTAGAGGATTAAAGCAAGTATCTGGAAAATTGAGAGGAGCCCAAAAGCTTACTTTTTGGTATAAACTTTCCCTCTAGAAATCACTGTTAAAATGCTCCACTGTTCTACATCATACTATTCCAACTCTGCTTGCTAAACACCCACTGGATACAGAACCATGATAGGAAAAAAAAAAAAATGGGGAAAAGGCTGCTATTGTGATTTAAAGCACAGAAGTTTGGAATCGGCCGAAACTGGGTTTTAGTCCAGGCCTACTGTTAAATTCTGGAACTCAACTTTCTCACCTGTAAAATGGGGATCTAAGTCCTTGCATTGCAGGGCTGACAAGAAGATTAAGAGAAAGACCTTGTATAAGAGCTTAGCGAGTATCTGGAGTAGTGGCAGGCACCCCCAGCTCTCCACCACCGCAGCCCCTCCCAGTTGTACTCACATCCTTTGCAGCTTTCATGAATTTTACTTTGCCAATAACATAACCCTTTGATTTGCTGGATTGTTTGAAAAAGAGCAAAAGCTCTCTCTCTACACCAATGGGAAATTATCTTAACTTGCCAGGAAATAACTTTTGAAAAACTTCTTTAAAAATGTTCTTTCAAATCCCTTTTGGAAACTGTCCCCTTTTTCTGTCCCAGAATAGCGCTGGAGTTTTGTAAGTCCTCTGATGTCGAAGTCCTGAGGCAAAGGGAGAAAATACAAACCAATGGGAAGGAACTCTTAGAAAACATTCTGAGCAGTCACAGAATGCTAGGGGCTGGGGTCCTCCCTCTGGTTTGGAGAGGTGCTCCCTGGGCAGTGTGGACCTGGGCCTCTTCACTCCCTCAGCAGGCAGGCAGAAGACCAAAGGACCCCAGGTCTTGGGGAAGGGAAAGGTATAGGTGAACCCCAAGCACTTCCCAGCACAGAGCAGCAGTCCCGTGTCAGACGCGCTGGGTGTCTCCTTTCTTTGAGCAGACTGTGCAGGCATCCTGAACTCCAGGACTGGCCAGCACAACGCATCTCTCAGTTGAGAAGCTTAACTTCTCTTGAGTTTTCAATGGTGACTGTAAATCTTCGAGAGAGCTCCGGTTAGGTAACTTGGTCTACAAGAATTAACATTTTGAATATATGTGACGCTCCTATAAACATACTATTAATATTGCCACAGGTGAATGATCCACTGTGCGGATCACTGGAATGTTGCCTTCAACATTATCTAAACTCATCCGACTGGAATGTTGCCTTCAATATTATCTGAACTCACCCCAAGGCCTCCCTGCCTAATAAGGCTGTTGATACCCTGTCCTTATTTGCTAATGTTTTATAAACCCATCAGTGAAAAGCACATAAGCAGAATCTTGGTTTTGGCTGTGACAGAATGTGTGTGTGTGTGTGTGTGTGTGTGTGTGTGTGTGTGTGTGTTACAATATACACTTGCCCATGTGATTTTGACAAATCTTGTAAGGACCATAGCTTAAGAAAGGCATACAAAATAGTGCCTTCTGGAATGGGAGATGCCACTGTTCCAGGCAGAGAGGGTGGCTGATAGCTGAAGTGTGTTATCAGATGGCTGGTGGTGCACTGTGGTCTGAGCCTCAAAGCAGTGTTGTTCTGGGTGGAGAGACATGTTGGGTAATCAAGAACATAGATTTTGTAGAGATGGAAAAGCTCAAAATTTCTAGCACCAGGAGCAGAGAGAAGTGGGAGCCAGTGAGGGAAATGAAAACAAGGCTCTATGTCCTCAGAAAGTGAGGAATCTTGCCTGGCTTATGACTTTGGGCTGTGTTTGTTCCTGCAGAAGTAGATGTTACGAACAAGCTGAGGAGAGCAGGGTGATTGCAGAAATAAAAGGGAGTTCACAGGGATATAGGCATAGAGCTGGGGTGAGGAGAATCAAAGCAGGAAATCTTACATGAGCCACTGAGACTTTAGGATTCATTCACTTAGTAGCATCCCCTGCACGGGCATTCGGTGTCCATCACACACATGGCACTGCTGTCCCATGGTAGTCTGCACTAGCCACGTGGCTTGGCACATGGCTGTGACCAGCTGGCCTTTTGCAAGCAAAGAGTAAGAACAGTCTCATCTGTTCTAGCGTCTGTGCCTGATAGTCACTGTCCTGTGCCATGGACATGGCTGCAAGCCTCAGCCTCTCTGTATCCTCTGCCCCTCATCCTTATTGCTACCCATCCACTGGGCAAGACTCCAGCATTCTTACTGCAATAAAATCGCCTAGCTAGAGAAAGAGCTCAAGGGGGCAACTTACAAGAAACTTCTTTTAGATGAGAAATGGCATGGTAGTGTTCTTCGGTCTTCCAACGGCATGACTAGGTCTATACTTTGAATGTTACCAACAGGATGCAAGGGACAGAGCCAGGCCCCATAGCTCCCACAGGTGCACCCCAGGCACCTCATCATGGCCATTGCTCTTCCTTTCTCTCTTACAGCAGAGTGTTGCCGGGGAAGGCAGTATCTCTTTGTGTGACCCTGGCGGCTTATGGGACATTGGCTTCAGACCTTCTGTGATACACTGTGCTGCGTGGGACGATGACGTGGAGAGGAAAGAGGCCCGAGGTGACACTGGCTTGCCTCCTCTTAGCCACAGCAGGGTGCCTTGCTGACCTGAGTGAGTGCTTTCCTTCCCTTTTCCTGCCCTTAGAGTCTAATGGAAGCGTTCAGCATTCTACAATAACTCTTTAAAAAGGCCTTCTCTACCTGGATTTCAGAGAACACTTTATTCTCATTGGCCTTCAGGGACATAAGAATACAAGATTAGCCGCGATCACAGCAATGTCATATTGGTTTCAGTTTGGTATTTGACTCACTTCAAAGCTATGCCAAAGGAGGAGGATAAGTAATAATAACTGCTTTTTATTGTGCACTTGACACGGTAGGCAATTTACACACATTGTTTGGAAGCCTCATGACAACCCTGTGAGGAAAGCATTTTTAGCCTCATTTTACAGGTAGGAAACTGAGACTTCACAAGGCTAGAGTCATATGGCTTAGAAGTAGTGGCACTGGGATGAGACTCAGGTCTGTCCAAATGCAAAGCCCAAGCTCTTGCTTTTACAATACTTTCTCACTCCAGATCTACTCTTGGGGACAAAGGCAGGTTGCAAAATGGACAGGAGCAGTAGAGTTGGAGAAAGACCAACTCCCCTGGTGGCCACTTCTGGAAGACTTCCTGGGTGCAGTGCTTCTAAAAACATGATACTGTTTTCTTGGGGGCATCTGTTCATTGCTGCATCCTTGTTCTTCTTCCAGATGATGTCCCTCAGGTCACTGTCCAGCCTTCATCCACTGTCCAAAAGCCCGGAGGCACTGTGATCCTGGGCTGCGTGGTGGAACCCCCAAGGATGAATGTAACCTGGCGCCTGAATGGGAAGGAGCTGAGTGGCTCAGATGATGCTCTGGGTGTCCTCATCACCCATGGGACCCTCGTCATCACTGCCCTTAACAACCACACTGTGGGACGGTACCAGTGTGTGGCCTGGATGCCTGCGGGAGCTGTGGCCAGCGTACCAGCCACTGTGACACTAGCCAGTGAGTCTGCTCCTTTGCTGCCCTGCCATGGTGCAGTTGCTCCTTGCGTCTCCCACCCCAAAGCCCCCACCATTCATGCTGCCTCTTACTAGTCTTAGCATACAAGGGCCCTTAACTGCTGAAATTTCAAATCAGAATGGTGGCTGCCTAGTAATGCCCAGTGATGGGGGACCCCTGTGCCCTTGGGAAACCTCACTCTGAATAGAGACTGTATCTGGAGTGAGTGTCTACAGAGAGGGGAATTGGTCAGTGCTCTTAATGTGGCAGAGCTATTTCATGGGCCCCAGAGCAGGGCCATGCCATGCCTTCTTAGCTGGTCATCCTGTGGCTGTAGGTGCCCTGTACCAACTGCTTACCACCCCTTCCAGACCCTCACTCCACTCTCATCACCGTTACAGTCGGAGCAGGGAGAGACAGGATGCCAAGAGACGTGGGCATGGCCACATGTAGTCTGGCAGAGCCCACCCAGTCCATACGTAGCCTCCTGTCTCTCTGTGAGGGACAAGCATAGTCCACAAGCCTGGAAGATGAATATTAGAACATAATGAAAAGGAAACTGTGGCAAAGGGATAAAGGGATGCAGAGAAAAGAAACAAGGAAGAGATGAGGTGATGGTTTGGACCAAGGAAAATGCCAAGAGTATAAAATGCTCAATCTACCTCTTATTTTCTGGTTTTCCATTCTTTTATTTAGGTGTTACAGTCAGTATAGGACAGTTTATTAAAGTCAGTATGTCTGTGGACATTCCGCTTGTGATATAGAAATTGTGTTACCTCTGACCTCTATTTTTTCCTCTTACCATGACAAGGAACATAGGTTCTCAGACCAACATGTGGAAACCAAGGGCCAAATGGCTTCCAAGGTCCCTTACAAGACAGGTGTTTCTAGTTGCCATTATATTTATTCTACCTTATGAGGACCCATTGTGTGAGGCTAGATGGAAGTGAGTAAATAGGCATCCTGCCTTTGCGTATGACTCCCACGTGGTGTGCTATGTCCTAGGCACAACACATACAGTATCTGATTTTGTACTCGCTGTACGTATGGGCACATGAGACTTGATGGATTAAATACACCACTGAAGGCTGGAGAGCAGCCCTGACACCCATTCTTCTGTGCTGAGCCTGTGGCAAGGAAACTTAAAGACTTGCCTCCAATTTGGCCCCTTGCCTGGGGCCTGAGGTGTAGAAAATAGAGAAACTTGTTGAGACCTTAATGATATTTGGATTTAAACTTTGAGAAGATTTCCAGGGCTTGTTCCCTCATTACTCAGCAGCACCTCCTTATCCATGAAAGCCCTGCTTTGGGCGTCCAGGTCACCACCATCATCATCACCCTCGTGGGTGACGTGGTTCCAGGAGGGTGGCAGTGCTACATCATGGGGCTTACCTAAGGCGGCCAACTTTTGAAATGCCCTCTCTATCCAAATCAGCTGGGGTCCCTGGGCTGTGTGAAGCTTGAGTCCTGCTAAGGCGGCCAACTTTTGAAATGCCCTCTCTATCCAAATCAGCTGGGGTCCCTGGGCTGTGTGAAGCTTGAGTCCTGAGAAGAGGGCAGGAAGGGAGGGAGAAGTAGTAAGAGAATGGAGGAAAGCCCCTAATGCCCTCTGTCCCCAGATCCCTGGAGGAGCTTCACTCTACGACACAGTGCAATGCAGGCTGCAGGCAGGATTCCACTTTTCTTGGGAAAGTCATGCAGCCCTGCCCTTTTCTCAGAGGGAAGGCAGAGTGTGTCCTCGGCTGTCTCCCTGAGCAGCCAGGCTGACTCTGGGCTGCACCTCGGAGCCCCCCTCACAATGGAGCCACTCGTCTTTGTGGCGGAAGGAGCACCCATGGGATCTGAGTGCCTGGCCTCTGGGAAGCAGCCTGTGAGGGCTCAGGGAGGGAGGCAGGCCATGGGTGGCCAGGGGGGCCTCCTTTCCGGCTGTGCTTGTTGGGTGAGGGCTGCTAGGAGGCTTAGGTGAGGGAGTAGAGGGTGGGGAGGGGTCATCTCATCACATCGAGAAGGGATGAGGTCAGAACTATACTTCCTATTATTATATACTTCCTGCCTCCACCTTCATATTTTCAAATTATAATTGTGTTATATAATGTTTAGGATATATAGAATTAATCTCTCCTAAACCTGCTATCTTCATATAACCACCACTGTAGTTTTGGAGTGTAACTTTCCAGTCTTTATCCCTGCCCATATTTTTATATTGTAAAGATACAATGAATATATAGTTTCTATTCTTTTTTGTCTGTTGATGTTGTATGATAAGCATTCTCCATTGGCCATATGACCATGTTTACTTTTTTTATTGAGTATAAAATGCACACAAGGCCTGGCATATAGAGATCAGAGGTAATTATTACAATATGGTTTAGACTTGCAATCCCAGCGCTTTGGGAGTCTGAAGCAGGAGGATCATTTGAAGTTGGGATTTTGAGAGCAGCCTAGGAACAAAAAAATTTTCTACCAATTTTTTTAAAAAAAATTGCCAGGTGTAGTGGTGCGCACTTGTAGTGTTAGCTGTTTCGGAGGTGGAAAGACTGCTGGAGCCCAGGAGGTCGAGGCTGGGGTGAGCCAGCCTCTTACAAATGAGATGTGCCCTTTTTTGGAGACCCTGTCTCCAACCGATGCATTTTTTTTTCATGTACGTCCACCCAGGTAACTACCCCCTACATCCCCACATACCCCTTCCTAGTTAATCCAACCTCCCAGCCCCCACCAGTACTTAGGATTATAATTACCAATGGTCCTAGAACATCCCCCACCTTCCCTTTTCCTGTCCCTGGGCAATTAGGGCGCTTCCATTTGTTGTTACAAATGAGATGTGCCTTTTAGCAATGCGTGTGCCCTTAAAGAACAACACTGCGCATCCAACAGGGAGGTTTCATCTGCAAACAGGCAGCACGAGTCTGGAGACACAAGACCATAACCAGTCATTTGGCCTAATTAGGAGCCAGGCTGAATCTTTTATTGTTTGGAAAAGGGAGAGTTGGAGAGTGGAAGATTTATCTTGGAGCTGTCCTTCTGCTTCAAGGTGTATCTGTGTGAGGAGAGACAATTTATTAGCCTTCATTTAAAAAATATTCCTGGCTGCTTCTCTCTCTAGTGCTTGAGGGGATCTGTGGCTGGCAGAAAGGACAAAGGGAAGTGTTTGGTTGCAACCCAAGAAGGCACAGTGAGAGAAGAAGGGCCTTGTGCAGAAGCTGAGCTGGTCTCATTTGAAAGCCAAGAACTATTGGCTTGTCATTTAGACATGAATCAGAAGGCAAAATGTTTGAGCCTGACTAGAAGGAAGAAGTGCTGAAAGTTGAGAGAGCAGGCATGGGGGGCTGTGTCATGGAGCGGAGGGAGTTGGTGGAGTGGAAATGCAAAGCTTGGAGGAGGCAGCAACGAGGTGGCAGGAAGGCGGGTGGGGGCAAGAGAAACGGGTACTGTCTTTGGGTTAATGCCATTGGGGGATCTGGCCCAGATGCAGCAGTAGATTAAGTTTCTGAAAGCACATTCCTGAGCAGAATAGGGGCTGTGTTTTCCTGGTTGGCTGATGTATGAGGGAGGCTGAGTGGTAGACGGGATTACCGAAGGCACGGTCTGCACTTAGAGGAAAGGCTGGGCAGCGGCATGCCAGAGCACACGCGTGCACACCCACACACACTCAGCATGTTAGCCTTGAAATTCTCCTCTGGCCTCTTCGCCATGCTTTCCCGTGTTCATCCTCGCACAGAGCAGCTGCTGTCTGGCCTACCTGGCAAGCTGCCGCCTCCTGCTTCCAGCCTCTAGAAATCACTGGGAGCTATAGATGATGGGACCTAGGACCTGGTTTGAGGATTCAGGGGTGGAGAGGAGGCCTCTAGTGGAAGAATTTTTCTGGTGCAATGTTGGGAGCTGGGGGGGTCCACTTGGACTTCACACTGACCAGGTGACATCATCTTTTGATTTTCAGTAAAATGGAGTCGGAAGTCGACTCACCTGAAGCGTCTCACCTGTGCACACACACGCTCCCTCCACCCCAGCTTGTCCCGGCCACGTCGATAATGGCTGCAGCATGCTCTGTGGAGGTGTCCATCTCGCTCTCCTCTGTGAAGGGTGTTTTCTTTCCTATTTAACTTAAATTTTTTAAAAAATCAGTCTCTCTTGCTGCTGTTGCCCAGCTTCAGATCATCATGTCCAATTCTTGCTTTTTGAAATGCTTTTAACTGTGTACTCCTTCCTTTCACTTCCCTTTCTTTTCACAAGCCTCACACCAGGCAGCCAACTGCTCTGCACAGCTCAGCTGTTCCCAGCCTGCCCCCCTGCCAGTGGGCACTCCACTCCTTCCTACTGGACGCTGAGTTCCACCTCAGACCTGTTCTCAACACGGCATGGCAAGGAGTTAGAGCCGACTCACTGGAGCTGGCAGTGGGAAAGCTGTTCTCAACCTTTTACCTCTAACAGTCAGCCGTTAATACTTCTTTATTTTTAACTTTAAAAAATTTTCGATAATTCTTCCAATTCTCTCATCATCTCTTGGTCCCACTGGTAGCTGAAAATAGGTGGTACCTAGGTAGCTACCTATAATTCTGAACTTGGGAATTTCAGTCCTCAAGTTAATGTGAAGTCTTAAGTTGCAGCTGGTATAATAGAGAACAGATTGGTCACCGCTCCTTAAGGCCTCTGAGTGCTGAGACCAGGCATATACTCCTGAATGGTCCTGTCTCTGGAGTCAGAGATCAGCAGGAAAGGTGACTGACAAGAAAGGAAGGAGTCCTCCTTGGCGCTCATCCTCATGACTCTGTGACTTTGAGAAAATGTCCAAAGTGACCAGGGACCCTTTGTGACCATAATTTAATTTAACCCATGAATAAAATAAGCCAACTAGTATAGTGGAAAAACAATTATAAAAAAATGTATTAAATTCTGGGTTTAAGCCTTAGCTCTGCTACTTAAGTGTTAAATGATTTTGGGCAAATCACTTGGCCTTTAGATTGCCACAGCTGTGAAATGAAAGCAATAATTACATCACCAGTCTC